GATGAAGAGATCGGTAAGAGTGCAAAAAAGTTGGCAGAGGCATTTGAGGACTTTAATCCAGCAGAACTTACAACACAAATCGAATCATTTAAATTTCTGTTTGCTTCTGAGCTTAAATCTTGTCGCAGCGTTTTTGATATGACTAAATTACTAATAATTGATAATAATAATTTAATTACTAGTTTCCCAGATTTGTTAACAGCATTTTATTTGTTCCTTACATTACCGGTTACTGTGGCAAGCGCAGAGAGGACATTCTCAAAACTTAAATTAATAAAGAATTATCTCAGAAGCACCATGTGCTAAACACGGCTCAGTGGCCTTGCAATGATTTCAATTGAAAATGAACGGGCTAAAAAATTGAATTTGTCGTCATTAGTTAAGTTATTTTTTCAAGATCGTAGCAGAAAAAAAAGTTTTCAAGTATAAGTATATTCATATTTGTAATTTTTTAATTCAATTTATAATTCAATAAGTTCTTAATAAACTATACAGTATACATAATTTAATTACATAATTATATACACATTTTTAAATGTGTATAAACTAAAATCCCTATGTCAGCTGAATTTGGTTACAGATATAATAGGGCCTCCGAAAAATTGTATTCACGGGCCTCAGTAAACGTAGTTCCGCCACTGGGTGTATAATTATTGCCTGGACTCGTATCGGAACTTTGTCAAATGTACAAAAAACCGTTCACAGGTCGAAGAATATGTAGTGTTATTACTGCAGATATCGCTTAGCAATTTCTCTTAAACAGGTTACTTGGAAACTCGAGTACCATTTTTGACTAATGCCATTCGATAGGATATTTTATAAGCTTTAATTTGGTGTATAATTATTGCCTGGACTCGTCTCGGAACTTTGTCAAAAGTACAAAAAACCGTACTCAGGTCGGAGAATATCTAGTGTTATTACCGCAGATATTGCCCAGCAATTTCTCTTTTACGGGTTACTTGGAAACTCGAGTACCATTTTTGACTAATGCCATTCGATAGGATATTTTATAAGCTTTAATTTGGTGTATAATTATTGCCTGGACTCGTCTCGGAACTTTGTCAAATGTACAAAAAACCGTTTTCAGGTCGGAGAATATGTAGTGTTATTACCGCAGATATTGCCCAGCAATTTCTCTGAAACGGGTTACTTGGAAACTCTAGTACCATTTTTGACTAATGCCATATAAAAATTTCTATAATTTTATAAGTTTTTTTTTTTTTGANTTTGACTGATGCCATATAAAAATTTCTATAATTTTATAAGTTTTTTTTTTTTTGAATATAATTTTTATAAGAATACACTTCGGAATTTTTTCGTAACTACTTTATAATAAAACATATTTTGTAAATAAGTGACGCCCTCTAGCGGTGTATTTGAGTTTTATATCTGATAAGGAATTGCTAATTTCACACACATGTGGTCTATCTATATGTATACTTGTCCACTAGAGTAATATCACTCTTTGAATCGGCTTCTCTATGAATTCCAGGTAGTGTATTTTTTATCAACTTCGTCAAATCAGTTTACATTATCCAAATATATGATAATTGATAAAATCCTCGTGTGTTGCTCTGATGCCGTATTACTAAATCAACTAGGAATTATAAGATATATTGCAATTTTAAAATACAATTATTATTTGTTTGTATTAAATTCAATTAATAATAAAATATCACATTCCAAAACTAAAATGACTATATTTGTCAATTTTTCGTTCAAAATTGGGAAACAGATATTTAGTAATGTTTTATTGTCAGAATTGAAGTGAGTAGACAAAACAATTATATGTTTTTTTTTGGGGGATTTTAATAATTGTCATTATGTTTTTGATACTTGTAAATTTTAAATAATGTAAGTATGTGTTTGGTTCAACCAGCGATCACCTCTCAATTGTCTTTCATAATATTGGAGCTCATACACTTATTTTTAAAGTCTTTAATTTAAAAAGCTATGTTATTGAAAGAGAATTAGAATTATATAAACCAGGATCTTAATCATTAGTCCAACCAATACTGCGAAGTGTAGTTAGGGTTGCACATATTTTAATTAAATGTCTAATTAGTTAAATTGAAATAGAAATTATATTATATAAATGTATGGTTTGATAAAACGTTTGAGTTGTTTATTAAAATGTGTTTTAAAAAGAATAGTGAATGATTCTGTAATTAGTTTCATTAATAAATAAAAATTTAGGTGAATATTCATTCTCTCATTATAAACTACGAGTTATTGATAAGTTTAATAAGTTTAAATTTAGTTTTTTTTGGGTGTATGGATCAGCAATTCTGTAGAGAATTTTTATAGAAAGAGACAGGTGTGTACTAAAAAGCCAATAATAAAAATGTAAATTATTCTAAAAAATAACTTTTAAGTAAAAAAATATATAACTTTACAATCCAGATTATTTAAAAAGACATTGATAGTGTTTTTAAAAGCAGTCCAGGAGGTAATTGCCTTTATATGTTATAACCTCATTATGTTTGCCTCTTGGAAACTTAATAAAAACATAAATTTATAACAAAGTAAAAAAAAATTTGTGGTCACCAATTATGATTCTTTAAATGTATGTTACCTTAACACTTAATTTTTTTTTTTAATCTTATAATAGTTCTAAAAGTTATATTATTTTTTTATTTGTAGGAAAACTACTACATATAGTCTTAATTTATTGCGTCATAAAACAACAGATGCTATCAAAAATGACTCTGTATCTGATGATGTAGCAAAAGTTAATATTGAAGACATTTTAAAATGTAATGAACAATTAAAAGAAGAAAATGAAGAATTAAAAGTATATTTATATTTTTATGTTCTATAACTTTTTATATTTTATGTTTCATTTTATTTAAAGTGAAAAATTATTATCATTTCATCAGAAAACCTTGCCTAAGCATTTTTTTTATTTATGTTTGATACAAAAATAGGTTAAATAAATGGACTAGTAATTTATTAAGAGGGCAGTCTGTAACTAAAAAAATAATTGGAAGGGGTCAAATTGATTTTATCAACTTCTGTTATATTTTTATTTATTTCTTTATTATATTATTAAATTACATATAATATTTTTTTTACACCATGGTAAACTTTAAACTTTTGTTAGTGTTTTAATATCGAACAACCCAATAGGGTAAATAAAATAAACCCTTAAATAATCTATATAGGCCATTTGCAAAAACCCAACCGTATGTATTAAAATAATTCAACAGAATTAACAAAAAAATTTTAAATACCTATATGAAGAAAAAACTTAATTAATTGATTTTTTAACATATTTAAAATGCATCTTTAATTTTACTATTGGCTACTCTATCATTGATTTATAAATTGTATTTACAACATATGATAAATATTTATATTTTACTTATATTATAAAATTATATAAATAAGTATATAAAATAAAATTATATTAAAACAAATAATATATAAATTGATAAATTAAATATAAGACACTTATTTTATTGAAAAATATTAAATATTTTCAATACTTGTAAAAGAAAATATATGATTCCAAAAACTTTAAAACTATATATAGTTAAATAATTTTTAATTTCATTCCTTAAGGTATGAATAATATGCTTGATTAAATTATTATTGGTATCTATTCTTGCTTTCTTAAGTGACATATATAATAAAATTAATTGTTAATAATAAGTTTTTTTATGTCACATCATGAAGAAATGACTACTACTGTATGCTAAACACCAAATTATCAATAGAAAATTGGTAAAAAAATTCTGAACTTAAATAAGCAATAACAGATGAACGGTTCATTAAATTAAAAATAGTACAAGAAAACAAATTTTTTCTATCATATCATTAAACTAAAAAAAGGGGATTCCATCAAAGAAAAGTTTTTTAATTGTGAAAGGATAAAGAAACATTGATATTACTACCCATTAATGTAGAATTTTTTTTATTAAACTTTTTATTCTTAACTCAAATTTTTAATTTTTAGTAGTTCCCAAGAAATTAATTGTCTTTTCCTTAATTGATTCCTGTATGTTTGGTTAGATATTCAAGTAGTATGGTTTTGATTTCATTTTAAGAATAAGGTTTTGCGATATCACTTCTTTAACAAATAAGAAATGATTATTAAAATTACCTGTAAATTATTAACAGTTTAAACCTGTCATATGATTTTCTATTATAATTAAATTAATTAAGATAAGGAAGTCTTTATATATATTTGTCTGTATATGTATTATATAATAAATTTTTTATTTTTATTTTACAGGATAAAGTCATCAGATGCTTAGCAGAATCAGAAAATATACGTAAAAGATCTATTAAAGAAATTGCAGATGCTAAAATTTATTCAATTCAAGGATTTTGTAAAGATTTACTTGATGTAAGATACATAGTCATAGATGACATTATAACTTGATTAGGCCATTGTCTGAACTAATATTTGGACCATTCCGAATAATAAGCGAAAACTAAACCAGAAAGGGCTTATAGAAATAATTTCACAAAACTGTTAAGCTTTAACTATTATAATGCAAAAATTTTGCATTATATTTTTTTGCAATTTTTATTATAATTTTGCTATGAGCCAAAATAATAATAATAAGGAAAAATCCTCAAAAAATAAGATATGGTGTGTAGGATTTCTTATCGATTTGAAACACTATAGTTAATGTTTCATTTTATCTATATAAATAATTACTACATCCATCCATAAGTGATCTTGTAGAAATATTGTTGAATATTGATAGGATTATTTTTAATAACAGATCTTAGAACAAAAACTCAGAGGTTCTATATGATATAAGCATTTTATATACAAATATAACTAAAAAATATATACCAAGATAACTAAGGATAAAACAATCTGGGAAGTTCACTCTTATTTCTCTTTTTAATATCCTTCTCCAACTAGTAGACCAAGATCTCCTAGTTTCACTAGAACACAAAAAAAAAGCCGTTGAAAATTTGATACAATTTTTTTTTTTTTATCTAATACAAAGGCCCAATTTTGCTTTTGTAAATAATATTTAGACATTAGATATTATAATTATAAATATACATTTAGGGTGATTTTATTAGTGTGAACCACAGTTTTTATTGAAAATTGAAAATAATATTGTGAATTTTGTTCTTTTATTTATGTTTTTCTAGATTTATTAATAATAATGTAATTTTTGTGTCTGTTACCACTTTTTCTCAGCTCTCACCAAACTGATTTCTTTCAACGATATGTCAAAAGATCACATATCGTATCTATTCGATGACATTATCCTCAAAAATTGAAAAAATTTACAACGTTCCCCGTAAAAGGAGGAAACCTCCAAAAAAATTACTAATTTAAAAATAGCTAAGTTTCTACATTTTTTCAATTTTTTTTACTTAAAACTGTCATAACTTTTTCAAAAATGAATAAATCACTATAATTGATGCATGATGTCCTTACCTATTATTTGGCATATTTTTTTTATAAATTAATCTGCCCACAGGAGGGATTCAATATGACTACATTTTTAAAAAAAATTAACTTTTTCAACTTAACTTTTGAAAGTGTTCCGGAAAGTCTGATACTTTTATATATATCTTAAATTAAAGCTAATGTAATGTATTTTATTATGGAAAAAAAAAAATTTGGACTTTATTTTGACTTTACGGTGAAAATGGCTACCAAATGCTATTTTTGTATGAAAATTCTCAATTTTGTATTTTACATTTTTTACTTTATTATTCTATAACTTTTTGAAAAATAAATGTATCAATACAATTTTTACATGAGAAGTAGTATTTATATACATCTTTCATTCGACATACTTTATCTTAATCAGGATATTAATAAGGAAATAGCAGATTATGTAGCCTTTGCAATAATCCATCTATTTTTTAAAATTAAACACTATCTACAGATTTAGATCCAAGCTTTTTTTTTTTTGATAGTGATTTTAATCACTGTCAGATATCATTATACTTTATCCAACTATGCCACATCACTACTGTGCAGCAACCCCCCTGTTCTGGGTTTTTTATATTTAAGAATAGCAGTAGTCTTAATTTTTTTATATAGTCAAATAAATCACATATTATGGATAAAGGTATTAATTATTGTTTATTATAGGAATCCATGTTTTAAATAATTCATGCTGTGGTGAGACCAGGTATGATGTATGGTTCAGAGTGTTGGGCAGTTGATAAGAAAGTAGAACAGAGAATGAGTGTAGCAAAGATGAGAATGCTTAGATGGATGAGTGAAGTGACTAGAGAAGATAGGATAAAGAACGAACATACAAAAGGGAGTATTGGTGTAACATTAATTGCAGATAAGATGAGAGAAAATAAACTTAGATGGTTTGATTATGTTATGAGTAGAGAAGAATCGGAAGTTGTAAGAACAGTTATAGAAATGAATGTTGAAGGAAGAAGAGGTAGAGGAAGACCAAAAAAGAGATGGAGGGATGCTATTGAATGCAATTTGAGGACAGCTGATGTGAGCGTAAATGATGTGGGAAATTCTGTCAAGTGGAAGTTTAGGATAAGGGTGGCCGACCCCAAGTAGTTAGGATTAAGGCAAGAAAAAGGACAAAAAATTTTGAGTTTATATTTTAAATAATGTATAACCTGTATAATCAATATTTGTTTATGTAGTGTAATGTATGTTCTATATAATACTATACAATTAAGTTTACTTTCAAAATTTTTTGACCATAATCGAGTTATTAAGAGTATTATTAAATTTCAATCTATTTATTTTTTAAGTTTATTGAATGACCTTAAAATGTCAAGTTTACAATGATTATTGAATTAAATATTTTGTAAAAATGTAAACAATATTTTTGGGTATCTTTAATGGTTATATGGTTTATATCAGTTTTATATAAACTTCTATGTTTATTATTATTATTATTATTAATAATTTGATATTTTAACTAATATTTGATAGCTTAAAGTATTTGAAAGGCTTTATATTAAATAAAGTTATAAGTTAAACACCTTTTTTAGGTTGGAAATTTAATTTTTGTTTTTTGTTTATCAGTATTTTAAGTATTATATAATATACTATTTCAAAAATAAAATTTTTAAGATACTCTTTGATTCAAATTTACCTATCAGTATTCAATATGATGTAGGGATTAAAATTTTATTTCCAAATGTATAATTTTAAAACTAATGAACATATAATGTTGAAATAAAATTTTTTATTTATTGCTACAGAGAGGTATAGTGACTAATTGATCACTTGTCTATCAAACAATGTTGTCTGTAGTCAAGTATCATACCTGTGACAGTACACACTGTTCAATAATAAAATATTTGACTTATTTTTAATAATATCAAAAATATGATCCAAGTTCAATATTATTATTTAATATTATCTAAATTTTAGGTTGCTGATAGTCTTAGCAAAGCCACTGAACTAGTACCAAAAGAAGAAGTATCAGATAGAAATCCACATTTAAAACATTTATATGAAGGTTTAGTTACTACAGAATCACAACTTCAAACTGTAAGTATTTACATTCTTATTTAATTAAATATATTAATGAAAGAGCAAGAGCTAAGTGTTTGCCTAGTAGATTATAGGTCATTGTAGGATTGAGTGATGTAGACACTATGGAAAGTATTTAATAATGATATGCTTTAGATTAAAGAGAATTTGAATCAAGTGGGCAATGAAACTATAATTAATAACAGAGAGAATGATTATGAGGTAAAGATCTTCTTCTTCTTCTTCTTCCTCGCTTTAATCCCAATTACTTGGGGTTGGCCACCCTTATCCTAAACTTTCTCTTGACACAATCTCCCACATCCTCTATGTTCACATCAGCTGTCCTCATATTGCATTCCATAACATCTCTCCATCTCTTTTGGTCTTCCTCTACCTCTTCTTCCTTCAACATTTATTTCTATAACTATTCTTACTACTTCCAATTCCTCTCTACTCATAACGTAATCAAACCATCTAAGTTTATTTTCTCTCATCTTATCTACGATTGATGTTACACCAATACTCCCTTTTGTATGTTAGTTCTTTATCTAATTTTCTCTAGTCACTTCACTCATCCATCTAAGCATTCTCATCTCTGCTACACTCATTCTCTATTCTACTTTCTTATCAACTGCCCAACACTCTGAACCATACATCATAGCTGGTCTCACTACTTGTAGAATTTACCTTTCAGCCTCATTGGAATTCTTTTATGGCTTAAGATGCCAGACGCTTCTCTCCACTTCAACCACCCGCACTTAAATCTGTGTTAAATTAATTCTTACATCCTCGTCAATACCACCACTCTTTTGTATAACTGACCCTAAATACTTAAAACTCTCCACCTCTTCAATCACGTCCTGGCCTATTGTCACTGACCTCCTCATTTTATCTACCTCGTGTTCTCCTTTGTCAATTCGTACTCTATATACTCAGTCTTACTTCTACTTATTCTTAAACCATGATCTCCACACCTCTAGCCTTCGGTTAATTTCCTCCCTATTTTATCCTATTAACACTATATCATCAGCAAACAACATGCACCACGGCACCTCTCCTTGTATTTCTCTAGTAATTTCATCCATTACTTTAGAGAATAAGTAAGGGCTAAAGCAGAACCCTGATGCACTCCTACTCTTAACTGAAAACCTTCTGTTACTCCTCCTACACTTTTTACCCTAGTACAAATGCCATCATACATATCTTCTATTATATGAATGTAACTTTTCAGGACTCCTTTTCTCAATAATGCCCACTTTAGAACCTCTCTCGGTACTCTATCATATGCTTTCTCCAAATTTATAAATATTATACACAGCTTTTTCTTCTTTTCCCTAAACTTTTCTATTAATTGTCTCACACAGAATACTGGATCCATTGTTGACTTACAATACATAAATCCAAACTGGTGTGTAGCTACCGATGTGTCATTTCTTATTTTCTTATCTATTACAATTTCCCAAATTTTCATACTATGACATATAAGAATTATGCTTCTATAATTTCCACACTACTGTATGTCTCCTTTATCTTTAAATACGAACACCACAATACTATTCCTCCATTCATTTGGGATTTTCTCTTCTAATATGATTTTATTTAAAAGACCCTTCAGCCATCCAATATTTTCCATATTTTTGCTGGTACTTCATCTGGTCCTACTGCTATATTGTTTTTCATTGATGCCACAGCCTCCCATACCTCTTTCTCACTAATTAAATCTATCAGTCTCTCATTCCACGAGATACCCTCTAACGCCTCTTTTGAATAGTCCCATTCAGTAATTATTCAAAATACTCTTTCCACCTTTTTTTCACATCATCATCACTCATGAGTACCCTATTATCAGCACTTTTTATACACCTATATAATGATAATCTTTAGTCCTTTTCTCTCTTACTTTTGCAAGTCTATAGATTTCTTTCTCTCCTTTCTTTGTTCCTAGCCTATCAAACAACTTATCATACCTCTAACTTCGCCTTACTTACTGCACACTTGGCTTCTTTGCACAAGCTTTTATACTCTATCCAATCTTCTCTCCTTTTGCTCTTCTGCCATACTTTGAATTGCTTTTTCTTACTTTCTATGATTTTTTAATGTCCTCATTCCACCTCTAGGTTTCCTTGTTTCCTGGCATTCTTCTCCTACTCTCACCAATAATCTCTTGCAATATTTTTTACACACTAGCAATTCTATTCTACACATCATTTATGTCTCCCTCGACATTTCACACTATCCTCTCTTTTGCCGTCTTGACAAAATCTTTTTCATTTTCGCCTTTCAATTTCCACCAATGGATTTTCGATTTTTCTCCAGTGTTCCTTCTGTTTTTGTATATTCTTTTCCTGGTACACCCAAAAATCCATTACCATCAGCCTATGCTGTGTAGTTACACTCTCACCTGGTATAACTTTATAATATTTTACTCGCTTTACGCTCTCTCTCTTCCAAATAAAATAATCAATCTGTGATCTATTCCTCTCTTCTCTTACATGTTATATAATCTTCTTCCCTCTTTCTAAAATAACTATTAACCACAGAAAGATCATACAATACTGCAAAGTTCAGTATTCTTTCTTCAGCCTCATTCTTCCCACTAAAACCATACTTTCCATGTAGTTTTTCATATCCTCTCCTCTCATTACCTACATGTCCATTCATATCTCCACCTATCACTGCATCCTCATTTTTAAGTACCCCTTGCATTACCTCATCCATCTCTCACCAAAACACTTCCTTGTCTATTTCATCACATCCTACTTGTGGTACATAGGCACTTATTACATTTTCCTGGAATATTAATTTTACGATCATAAATCTGTCACTTTTTCTGACTACTTCTACTACTCTACTTTTCATCTCCTCATCTATTATTATCCTTTACAATTCTTTGTACTATACTTCCCAGAGAATATTTTTTTATAACCCTCACCTATTTCCCTTGATTTCTCTTCTTTCCACTTAGTTTCCTGCACACAACAAATATTAACTTTTCTCCTCTTCAATACTTCTACTAGTTAATGTTTCAACATTCCAAGTACCTATTCTTACTTTATATCTATATTTTTTTCCTTCCTCATACATAAGTCCAGCCTAGAGTTAAGTGGTGATGTCCCTACACCGTTGACACTACAAGCATTGAATAGACCTGTACTCATGACTGGTGAAACAGCTACCGCACAAGTTGTCCGGCTTACATTTGCCTCTAACGACTGGCAGAGGAGCCGTGAATGTATTCATAGCCCCTATCCACAGGGAAAATTATAAGTTAAAGATAAATGATTTTTATGATTAAAATAAGTGTGTTAGGCTTTTGATTCCAAAGAAAATTACCAAAAACAAATTGTGATATAAAAAAAATGGGCAGTGCGATAAAATGAGATTAAAAGGTTTGAAGATTTAGAATTCCAACTACAATTTAAGTTTCAGTTGAACATTGTTGTATAGTTATAAATTACTAGAAATGTATAATACCTACCATTAAAGAAAATTCATGAGAAAGAAAATGAAGTATTTTGTAATGAAGTCATCTTAACGGAATGTTTCAATTTTTAACACAAACTAAAAACTATGTGATATTTAAAATTAGATTGTTATTTCTTTTAAAAAGTTTTTGTAAATCCTAGTTAAACAACTCTGTTTCAATACATGGAGTGTTTATTTTTATTTTACCATTATTTATTTTTTAATATTTTCTCAAAGTTTTATCTTAGTTTCATTTTTTTAAGGCACCCAATTTGGTAATAATTTAATGCAGACATTGGAATGAAATCAACAGATTCAAGTTCATTCAAAGAGAATGAAAATAAATTTAGGTTACATTTAATAGGGTTAAAGTTTTCTGATCTTTAACAAACTAACACATCTTAAGAAGAATTTCAACCCTTTTGTTATATTTTATTTGTTATACATTAAAAGTACAAGAATTTGGAATCAAAAATAAATTTATTACTAAAATTATTTGATTGATCATAAATTGTGGGAAATTGAGTCATATATGGTATCTATTTATTTTTATAAGTCAATTCTAAGCTATTTTTAGTTATTATTTTTTTGCTATGACAGAATCCCATACATTTTTTTGTATGTATGGATAATAATTAGGTATTGTTCAGGCCATCATAAAAATTCACGGTTAAAAAACACCATCAAGGTAAACTTATTCATTTATGAATTAAATAATTTTATTTAATAACTTAAACAACTAGGTTCACTTAAAAAAAAATGAATAAGTTAATGAACGTAGATTGAAATTAAATAATTTAAGGACTAGTTATTATTTTTGACGAATATTCTAAAGTCTAATAATAATTAGAACATATATTTAATAAGTAGTGATGTCCAGTCCGTTCTATTTTTGAACCAAAATTTTGCTTTGAAAATCGAACTAATATAATCAAATTTCATGCTGAATTTGTTGAATAATGATAAAAAAAATGTTCCATATGAAAATGATTGACATTGGAATCAGGTTTTGTAACATCACTATTAATTGTGATATATTAATAGTATTGAACAGAAATATCACTAATTTAAACTAATTTAATTCCTTATCAAAAAAGAATTCTCTTTCCGTATACAAAACTTTATTACCCTCTCATGCATTTTAAGAAACGCACATACAAAGAAATACTATCTTAATTGATTATTCAAAATTAAAAATCAGTATCTCAAAATTTTTACCGAACATCTACAAGCAAATTTCCATGCGATCAAAAAGGACATTTTCTCCTTAAAAACCCATTTTTTTGTATATGTAAATCTACGTTGATTTACATTTCTTTTTCAAAACTTTTGAATTTTTAAATTATGAATATATTTCTAGCAGTACAATAATGATATGATAAGTAAAATAATTATAATGGTAAATATTTATATATATATGTATATTATGTTTTTATATATATTTTTAGATATTTCAAAGACATGGTCTTGTGTCAATTAACCCGTTAAATGAGAAATTTGATCCTAATGCACACAAGGCTTTATTTGAACAAGTAATTTTTTATTATAATTAATAAATCGACAAAGAATAGTGTTGTGTTGAAAACAATACATTTTCGAGAAGAAACAATATGAAACATACAAATTTATTCAATTTCATTATTGATTAACATTTCGCTAGACTAGAGAAACTATTTATTATATAACATATTATATATGTTTGTGTTAAAACCATAAAATGGGAAAAAGATGAGTTTTTTACTATTTTTGTCAATAGGTGATATGTTAAATGCTTGAATTTGATTGAAAAATTCGTAATAATATACAGTAGAACTCCAATTATCCGAATTAATGGGGACCGGGACCCATTCACTGACTAATCAAAATAAACAATGACAGGTGACTGCAATGCGCCGGAACTGGAGTGGGAACTCTTACCACGTGTTGTGCCTACACTGACGCCGCGGACTTTGGACAAATTTTTTTCTGATTTTTTCTGAAAGTGATTCGGATAATCGGCGATTCGGATGATCGGAGTTCGGATAATTGGAGTTCTACTGTATTATAATAAATGTATTAATGTGCAAGATAACTGTTTAACTATGACTTGCATAATATTTTTAAAATTATAAATCATAATATAATTTCTTTTTTTTCGGAGTTAGTAGTATCCTATGTTTTATAATTAAAAAATAATCTTCTCTCGCTTTTAAATAGTATCAACTTAGGTTTTTTAAATAGAAACTTATATATTTTAATAGCTTTAAAATAAGGATAAATACCCGTTTTGTAAACTTTTGAACCACTATTTTGGAAGTTTATGATAGATATGAAGAACTAGTGCGATTCATAAATACCTAGAGGTAAAAAAACAGGCCCGCGCTCCATTTCCAGTTTTTGGTTTGGACTAAAATGGTAATTGTTCATGTTTGTAAATTTTTTAGAAGAACAAAAATAAATTATAAATTCTTATCCTTTTAACGATAAAACAAGAATAGATACTTAAAAATTAGCAAACAAATTTTACAAAAAAAAAAACAGACGAAAAATGTTTTTATTATTAACATATTACAGAAAAAGGAAGTGTTTTTATGTTTGTTACTTGTAATAAAACCTTTTGACAGATATGTAACAGGTTTGGTGGGGAATAAAATGTAGTAATTATAACTTTTCGTGTAGTAGAACATCGTAGCGGAAGGATTTTAGAATACGAGTATGACGCGTCGTCAGTAATCATACAGCCGGTATAAGCTATCATCGTTAATGGCGAAAGAACATGTGATGGTGGGGAAGTAACAAGACCACACGGAAAAATCCAAACAGAAATTTTGGGTATATCAGACAGCAAAACAAATTTAATAGCGCAACTATTATTTTTTAGTGAATTTTTTGGACGGCTTTTTTTTAATATTAAGTGATGACTTGATAGTGAAGCCAGAAGGTAGCTTTAGTGGGTATCATTTGGGTCTATTCTAATGACCGTAAACACTACTATTATGAACTATTGCACAAGACGTGCTGATCCAGCACATATCTGCGCTCGACTTTTGCATATTCGAGTCAAATATTATTTGAAATATTATATAATAAGCCGAAATGGCTTCCCATCGACGGGCTCATTGGCGCGGAGAGCTTCGGTTAACCAAGTCCGGAGACCGCACTGCAGGCTATTTACCTGTCACAACAAAAAGGAAGAGAGCGTAAGACGACAATAGGACACCGTAGTTCCATATCATCCAGTATAGTGGAAACCTCCCCTAAAGGGTTTTGCAAAAGCTTGCCACCACTACTCTATAATGGTTAAAGAGCCGTTATTTAGGATACACGGCACAACACCATCTGAAACCGCTGACTGCCCCAACGATTTGGTTAGGAACCAAGCTGAAATCAAAGTGCGAACACTTTGACCGTTAAGAGTCATGTGAATAAAAGGACACAAGACCCACCGTGTCTCTATTAAAACTAAACTTAAACCCAATCGAGTCCGACATCATTGAATCCGGTACGCCTAATCGAGGAAGTGGGCTCCCAAATGTTCCGATTTACCAGTGTTAGCCAAAGCAACCTTGGGCTAGTCACTGTCGACGATGCCGTCTACGCCCCTCATTTCAAAGGTCGAGACCATATATACAACGGGACTGCTAAGACCAGAAACCCGGAATAGGGATATGAAAGCCTCGGCTTTTAGGTGCAAACTACGATAGATGAAAAGTTTACCCGCAAACAAAAATACTTCAGTTTAATTACGTTAAATAATTAAACAACAGTACATTAGACAGCACGACACCGCTCGCCAACAACTCGCGCACGGTAAGACTAACTCAAAGAATCTTTGACAGCGAATTAAACCAAAATCACAACACCACTGAAAATTCACAGGAAAAATACTTAATTTCGTTTACTTGAACGACATATTTTTCCACTTGTTTTAATTTAAAAACAAAATACTGGTCCGATTTTGATGAAATAACTATGCGACTAATCTGAAAGCATATCCTATTAAATAAAAAAAAAATTCGGTTTATAAATACTATTGTTTCGGTTACTCAATTTTAACAGCGGACTGTAAGAAATTCCAATATATAAAGCTTTTATTTTGTTAAATAACTTTTACTTTATTTTTCGCTCGTTATCGTGACGGCTACGACGTGCCGTCCGTACATATCCGTAAAGGTCGCCGTGTGCAACCTAACTAAATGATAAAATGAAAACCGGTCGGAGACCACTATGTACACGGTATTATCGCACAAATAGAAAATGGATCGAACACGCCGGCCGTCTTGAAATAAAAATTTTAAAAATGACTAAGGGAACAAAAAATACATTAAGGTATACAGTTAAAGATAAACTTAATACAACCCTAAACATAACTATTTTGATATAAGATAAAAATAATTAAAGTAATAGTAATATTTTACCTACAAATATAATCATTTTGTGTACATAAAAAAAAACACATAAATTAATTAAACTATCAAAACCAAAAATAAGACAGTTAATATAGAATATTAATAAATCATAAACAGTTAAAATTTTCAGAATAAATGGATAACAAACAGATAATAACAACATATTTATATAATTTTTTGACGATCTAGTGGGATGAAATTACTGGAGATGAGTTATTACCCTCAAACGGTAAAGGACACAATTGACGGACAGCCCGCTCATATTCTCCATCAACAGTTCGAACAAAGGCCGACCTCACCACTCCATCACTTCCTTCTCGAACTGACACAATACGCCATTTCAAAGGGGTAAAATTGTCGTCACGCAACATGACAACCGTTCCAACATTTAAGCGAGGTCCTTTCTCCTTGGCCCATTTTACCCTCTCTTCCAATTCTCAAGATACTCTTTGCTTCAACGATAATTGAGTGACGCGATGTCATCTCGCCAACCGATTTAATTGTTTAGTGTTAGACTCTGGTTCTGGTACTGCCATAAGGGAGTCACCAATTAAAAAATGACCAGGAGAGAGATAAGATAAATCAAGAGGTTCATTGGATAAAGGAGTTATAGGTCGTGAGTTAAGACAAGCTTCAGCACGCGTTAGTACTGTTGTTAATTCTTCCTAAGTTAAATATGACTCGCACATTACCATATATAATAAGGTTTTCATTGAGCGAATGACACGCTCCCATAACCCACTAAAATGAGTGGAACGAGCTGGTAGAAACGTCATGCTTAGACAACTCTGTATTTATTGCGTCTTGGTGCTCCTTTGAATAAAATAGATCGTAAACTTCTTTCAAATGATGCTGAGCTCCAACGAAATTCGTCGCATTATATGAATACACAGTATGACTTTAACCTCGACGATTGTAAAAACGATTTAATGCATTAAGAAACGCATTTGTACTTAAATTGCTGACAATCTCAATGTGAACTGCCTTCGTGGCAAATCACACAATAATAGCTATGTAATTTTTTACATGTTGAAATCTTCGCAATAAACTATTACGAATCATTATAGGACCTGCAAGGTCTACACCACACTTATAAAACGCACGAGGGACTGGTTTTACGCGGTTTGTTGCTAAATCGACCATAATGGGCTGAACTACAACTGGCTTCCACGAAAGCATGTTACATATTTTCTAAAACACATCCCATGCAATAATACGTCTTCCTTTAGGCCAATATTTTAGACGAATCGACGCTATTATAGCTTGGTGACCACTTTAAAAGACTGATATGATGTTCGTGTTGAAATAACAACTTAGTAAATGTGCTTTTATGTGGTAGAATAATCGGATGCCGCTGATAAATATTAATGGAAACAGCATATTTTAAACGGCCTCCTACGCATAAAACATCATTTTCGTCCATGAAGGGTCTAAGACGAAATAATGGACTTGTAGAAGAAACAAAAGGAATAGTGTGACTTAAATTTTTTATTTCAGAAAAAGGTAATCATTTTGTACATGCTTTATCAGTCCCATGTTCGCTTGATTTAATTCACTGACCTCTAAAGATGAAATTTTTCGATCCAACTTTCGTCCGGAATTATAAATAAAACTATAGCAATACGCGATAACACGTAATAATTTATGATAATTAGAACAACAAAATTAAAAATATTAAATATTTTTAATTTTGTTGCTTTTCTGCTACTAGTTAAATTAATAAAATTACGTTTAGCTTCAGGAATAACCTCATTCGGTATTGATTTACCTGTAGTTTGCCAGTGAGTAGAATCCTTAAATAACCAAGCCGGTCCTGACCACCACAAGAAGGATTTAGATAATTCTTTTGGCGTACAATCACGGGATATTTTATCTGCAGGATTCTCTTGTGACTTTATGCGCGCCCACTCATCTAAAGAAGTAAGTTGTTGGGGTTCTCCTATTCTATGTGCCACGAAAGTTGTCCACTTTGTGGATGGAGAGGCGATCCAGGCTAGGACAATATTCGAATCGGAGAACAGAAAACGTTTACAATTAGCTATTTGTAATTTAGAAATGACTCTGTGTGCTAGACGAGCAAGAAGTAATGCGGCGCACAATTCTAACCGCGACAGAGAAATAACATTCATAGGTGCTACCTTTGA